TATGCTATTCTTGTTATCCGTAATCACAACCAGTGGCAAACTGAGCGGATAGTTAATGCTGCTGTCAAAGATAGACATCTACAACTGCATAAGCCTTTCCCCCGCGTTCTCAGCTGCAGTAGTCACAGAGTATATTGCCATCTGATATATGAAGGGGTCTGTATGAAAATCGCCATAACCGCCTTTCATCTAGCGAGAAGTGCTCAAGAAAATGATGTAAGAGCCGAATGATGCTACTCTACAGCCTTCACATCCTGCAATCAAGCGAAAGTATAACTTATCATCTCTCGAGTCTTGCGAGAGCCGGGAATAACCCCTGGCATCTAACAAAGTAACACGTCAATTGAACACTCAGTGACCTCAGAGCCCATAACATTAGTCCACCGCATTTCTCATTCATCAAGTACTGTTCTGGTTGACTCCAGGCTCGTTTCAGATATCACTGTCCAAGATATCTCTTCGTCTGTCCGGCTCTAGACAAACAGCGCTTGGTAGGCTGCCAAAGACCCCTTTTCCCCCCAAGTAATTGCATAGGCTACTTCGGGCCACTAACTTCACCATCCTCATTAGTTATCACCTGCAGATTTCGCTAACAAAACGCTTGCAGTGCCGCCGTTCTCTTTTGACATCTACATCTCGATCAACGATGGACGTTGAAATCCGCTGATGGAGATCAACCTGATCAGCACGATCAACACTGTTCCGTCAGGGTTCATACACGCGACGATGATCGATGATGGCCGATCTGTTTATCTCCCGTCAGCCCGTCACCATGGTTCCCAGAGCGGCTCCACGGGGTGTTTGGAAGCTTGTCGGCGCCTATGGCCTGATGACGAGGGCGTGTTCTCGTTCGATCGAGCTCATCTAGCTACCCTATAACTATATCTTGAGACTGCTGTGAAACACACGCCTATCGGGTGATTTGCTGCACTACGGGGTAGTTAACTAGCTGTTTGCCGGGATTGCTACCTTGCGGGTGCATTCATTCCAAGCTTAACAGAAGCCAGTGTTAGTTACACCACCCATATGCTGTCATCGGATCCTGTATTCACTAGCTGAATACTAAATAGTCAGTCCTGCTACGGTCTCATCGCCGTCTGACGACTGGGAATCTATACTGCGTAACCCGGGCCGAGCCCCATGAATCAGTTAACCACATGGCCTGGCGATACCCATCCACGAGCCAGTGATACAAGGAGTGCAGTCACTGTTATGTTTATAGAAGCATTAGGATTCAGCCTCATCATCCTTGGTAAAGCAATTGCTTCCTATCCTAGCATTCCACCCGCATAGTCCGTGTTCGGCAACTTCCTGGACTTTATGCACGTAGTTAAACGCCCTTCTCCCCTGGACCGGACGAAGGGATAACCGACCAGACTTACCGCCACGCGGGCGACAGTGACTAATGCAGAATATGCCTCGTGAAAAGCCACGATTTCAATCTCACTGGCAAATTTATGGAGCAGAAAGCCTTGTTACTCGGCCGTGAACCTTCACGCTTCGGTTATCGAGAGTCTAAGAGTCGAGGTGTTCTCTACAGCAGTTAGTTGCTGGTCAATATCCGATCGGTAACTGAACTATTCAATGTTATATCATATTTAGATATCTATACTGAGTCAAGTATTCCTAAACATGGTCCGCATCGTAAAGAGAAATGATTGGGACGTTCTCTGCTCTGCCGTGTAGTGGTCAATTAGTTGATTACTTGGCTGCATGCATAAATGCGCCAGTTAAAAGCCGGGTGTTAAGGTTAGAGGCTGGTGGGCTTTTGATCTAAGCTTAATTTGACGTTTGACTACAGAACTGTATCATGACGACAGGTTAGGCCGATATGAGCGCCAATTGCTCAATATACCGCCTAAATCGTCCCATCTTATACGTATATTTCCATGGAAATCCTCCAAGTGCAGTATTTGGTCCCAATGGACTGGGAAACCCTTCCAAAACCAAGTGAGATACAATAACCATCCATAGAAAGGAGATAATGAAAACAACGCAATATTGGACAAGAAATAAACTACTCACACTCTATTTCAAGAGTTTCATCATATTAGACTTTTATATGGCATATCTATCCCTGAATTGATTTTGAACACGGGTATCATCTCAAGAATATTCATAGAGTCATAATAATTGCTGCCAGCCCCACAATCACCAAACTCATCCAGCTGCCCCTCGAAATCATCGCTTTGTTCTCCGGGTTCTCCGGCTCCACGGCATGCTTCTTTATAGTAATAGCCTTCAAGCAGGTCATCTGAGAAGAAGTATGGTCGACGATGCTGCCGTTTCCACCAACAAATAGAGTCAAAACTGGTGTGATCTTATATGCCTCTTCGGTATATTCGTCATAAGTGTCCGTTTCATTGCCCTGCAGGATAAATAATGATTAAAAAGGATGCCAACAAGGGAAATTGCAAGGAGTTTAACTTACATAAGACGTAGCTTGTGCTATCTCCAATAACCGGTCCGATTTCTGCTTTGTGGGCCAGCAGTCCGATGAATTTTTCACTGTCAAGAGAGCATCGAGGGACTTGACGGTAAAATCTCCGAGAGAAGTTCCCGGGCCGCCAAAACTAGTGCATCCATCAAAGTTCTTCTTCATCTCTTGCTCAAGCTTCTCACATAGGTTTCTACTGTCCTCACCAGCCACATCGCTGGCGTTTTGCAGAATTTTATCAATGCAGCTCTGCTCAATGACGTTCAAGCACACACCAGCAGCAGGCGACTATCCACCATATTGACAATAACCGAAGTACCCGCGATTTTTCCTTCCTTCATGGGGTATTTGAACTTTGTGAAAGGGGAGTCGTTGAAGACGACAGCGCATCCGCGAAGCTTTCCAGTGTCTGCGGTTTCTGGAACAGATAGGTAATACAACGAGTTGAACGGAAGACCGGGATCTTCACTGGCTTTATTTGAAACATTGACTCCTTTACGAGGGAAAATCCTTCCAATTCTGAGGGGGAATTGTGAATTCGGGAAAGTCCAACGCCAATATGGGCGACAGCTTCAACTGTACAGCGGTCATAACCATCGATTGTGGGGCAGCCAACGGAGTTGCATCCGACCAAGCTGGTATCCCCAGCGCCAATAGTGAAGGGAATCAAAGACAGGGCAAAGATGATGCTTGGTAGTTTGAAAGGAGGCATTGTTGCTTTAGATATAAGGGAATCGCAAGATTCGGACCAGAAACGATATTGAAATGGCTGCAAATCGCTGTATAGTGAAATTGAGGCCAGTACATCTCGACTTTATATCCCGGTAGATTTGCCGTTAATTGGGAGCTGTTCTGTTGCATCATATATAACTCCTGTCTTATTGTCGTACTGGAGTGTTCTGTTGTGATGTGCAGCGGACCGCAACCTTGGCTATTGCTCTTTCATGTCATAATGCATGACCCAAAGTAAAGAAATAACCGCTGAACATCTTCTTTGCCTTCCTGTCGTCTTGTAGTGTATTTTATAATTCATACTAAAAGCTCCCCGGTATACTGAATATGGAAAGGAATATTACTAGTGTTTGTAATTTGTGTGTTTTATCATTTGAGCCTCCATTAACTATAATACGCGGATGCTTATTACTAAGAAACCTAGTTTCAAAACGTCCTGTCGGAACATGAACCACAGGACCATGGGACAAAAAGGCCTTCTGCCCCAGCCATCTGCGAGTTCTACTAACTCAAGGATGGCTAATCCTGACACGCCCCATAATTTCCATAATGCCGTGGACAACACGCTAGGTTATTCCATATCCACGGGACGGACTATTGCACTGCACATATCTGTTGGATGCTGTTTATTGAATTTGTTCTGTCCATTATGACGCGCAAAGAATGCGCATTATTGTTGGATCTCCTACATCCACAACTAACAAGAAATGAGAATATACCCAACGGAGGAGCTGTGGCCATAAACACGAACGATGTAGGGCAAAGGAGTGATGCTTCCTTCATTGGCAGAGGACAATTCAGGATGCAGTCACTAAAGCAGGGCATTACGAAAACAAAAGATGGTATCCTGTAGCCAGCTTGAGAACTGTCTATATAATCTGCTCCCCCAACCACGTCAAACGAACTCTCAAGTCAAGACCACAATCCGAATCAATCATTCTGTTTGCTCTTGATACTCGTACAAATTTTGTACCTCGCTTTTTCAAACATGGCGTTCGTGAGAATTCTTGGTATTATTGCTGGGAGCCTGGGTATCATCTCCTTTGGGCTGGACAGATTCGGTGGCGAAGGTTCGCACTCCGGCTCGACGATCAAAGTCGCAGTTGCCCTCGACGGTCCGCAATTGTCTAACTCTGCGGGTGACCTTCACGATGCCTATGTTTTAATCGATATATTGCCTCTGCCAAACTGTGGAATTGTGTAGCTAACCCCCATTGTAGGCGTGTTTGGAACGAGGTTGGAAAGTTCGTTGGTATTATTGTCGACCCCGGAAGGGCAGAAGCAGGGAACATTGGTGAAATCAAAGTCCAGCATGACAATCAGGGGGTGTATACCTTATTCTCGGCCAACAATGATGCAGTGTGTATTGTCTGGGTGTCGGCCACCTGGACAGGTGGCCACGGAGGCAACAAGTACATATGCAGTCACTGGTGACTTCAGCGAGCCCTGTGGTGGTGCCTGGTTCCCGAGCAACTTATACATCAGTGACAAGAAGGACCATCAGCCCGATTGCTTCTGGATCGACAAAATTGGGGACCAGCCGAAAACTGGGTTCCAAGTCCGATGGCCTGCGTATTCTGAGGACCGGTTTGACGAGAATAACAAGGATCCGAAGAGACTGTGCAACAACGTTGACTTCGGGCTGCGCGAGGGAAAACGACCCCAGTTCAATCAGCTACTATCCCAAGAAAAAACGAGACGAAAATCCCCGGGCTTGTCGTTCTACCATCCGTCGCCCTGGGTGGGCTAATTCCGAACTCGTTATCAGTGACTCCAAGCATCACTCGGCCAGGCGACTTTGCATGTCCGACTCATCCTTCGGGCCTGGCTTTGCACATACCGAAGAGGGCCTCTTCTGCGATATGGATGCTAAGGTATTATATGCCTTCTGCGCAGATATTGTAGAAAAATCTGCTTGCTTTGACCTGAAGCGGCAGAGAATTGTCGCTCGTGAAGAAGCAACAGGAGTCAACGCAACTTCTACCATCAATGGTTCAGCCCGCTACTCTCGTATTCGCGACTGGCGCACTAATAGCACTGTGGCATAGATATCTCGCCTTTGGTTCATTTGCTAAGTTTACTTTATGAAGTAGATAATTGATAGCCCAATAGTTAGATAGTCGCCTTGTTTTCAGTTTTGGGTACTTGGATAGCAGTACCACCGATATAATATCTTCAAAGATAGGGCTCACCATAATTTATATCCAAATATTATCCACTTGTCCACTGCAAAAGGATCCTGTAGCCTATAAATATCCATAATACAAAATATCATGTGAATTCATTGGCAATTAATAGCAGGTGACGATGGATTAAATTGGCGGTGGAGAAAGAATATTTTTATTTCTCCTACTTAGAATGATGATTCTTAACTGTTTACTTCGCAAGCTCAACCTTCCAGGTCTTTACAGAACCGTCAGCGCCCCCAGATGCAACCTTAGACCCATCGGCTATCCAAGTAACAACATTGACACCTTCCTGGTGAGCGTTCTTCATCTGTAGTCTCTCGCCAGGGCGAGCAAAGTTCCATACAAAGATATTAGTGTCCAGGGATCCGCTCACTAGATGAGTAGCTTCCTTGTTCCATGAAAGAGAGGTGATTCGGCTGGTGTGGGCCGTCCAACGGTCGGTAACTTTGCTACCATCTGTGGTCTTGTAGACAATGATTCTACCGCTCGAATCGCCGGCGGCTAGGATGGATTCATCAGAGGAAAAGGCTAATGCGGTAATTCGGTTCCTCAACAGTTTGGTCTCGACGTTAATGCTGATTCCGGTACCATTGCCGTCGAGTTTGCCAATCCGAATTGAAGCATCTTCACCACCAATCGCTACTGAAGAACCAGTAGCAGCAACGGCAGTTATTTGTGATTTAGAGTCGAATTTTCCAGTGAGTTGCCCCTTAGAAAATATCTCAACACAATCAGAACTGGCGGCGAGGATAAATTCCCCCGCTGTAGCAATGCCCTTTGGCTGTGCAGTGAGTTTGGTATCAAGCTCGCCATAAGCGTTTGACTCCAGATCAATTGATCTTAGCTTATCATCCCACCCAACGCTGTACATTTGTCCCGAGCTTCCCTCGCTAGTAGCCGAAAATCCCGCAATGTAGCTGTTGTGTCCTGGCCCTTTTGCTGTTTGTGCCGATCCATCTGATATATTCCACTGGCAGACTCTTCCATCATAACTACCAGTCCAGAACGTATCACTTGGGCATGACTCGCGAGAGGATAATGTGGTTATGTTCTTCTGATGGCCCTCCACTCGTCTTGTTGGCTTGTCGGTCCCTTCAACCAGATAATTAAGAGTCCCCGAGAGTGACAAGCTTATGGTCAAACCGTCTGTTCTTCCACTAGGCCATACGACTCCAACCTGTTGGTCTGCTACGCCAGCAGCACCATCCTCTCCGAGGGTCCAATTCTGGACCACCTTGCCCTGTTCGACGTCCCAGAGCTTAACTGTTCGGTCTGCGCTGGCAGTGACAAATCTTCGAGAATCACTTGACCAGGAAACACCGAAAATGCTGCCCTTATGCTCACCTTCCCCAACCTGGCCTTTGACCTCTCCGGTCTTCCCATCATAGAGCCAAATCCTCCTGTCACCACCTACACTAACTAGGTTGTCGCCGTTCGGGCTAAACGCAACCCCGTAGATGAAATTGTTATGCTTCTCCCGGATTCCGGTATTGTATTTAAATGGAGCACCATGGTAAAACACTAAGGTCCTGTCGTCTCCAGCTGTTGCAGCGCGTAACGGCCTCTGCTGCCTGATTGACACAGAGTTGATGACCTGACTATGCCCCGTTATTTCACCAACAGTATTGCCGCTATCCGCCGTTATGCAGTGACCAAATCGCTGGTTACCTTTACCGACTGCAATTATGCGCTGCGAATCGCCATCCCAGGCCAGGTCGTTGATTCTCCCGCTCACAATGGAATATTCTCCTTTTGTAACACCCTCTCCGACGCAGTCCCACACACGCACAATACCAGATGCGTCTCCACTAGCAACGTAGTATCCGGAGGGTGAAAATCGGGCAACAGTCGTCTCTGCAGTGTGGGCTGTGTACTGAGTTGAAACCGAAGGGTTGTCTATCGAGCGAAGGAATATGGACCTGTTGGACTGTTAAACCGAAGATAGTCAGATTATAGCTACTAAAATGACGCGATCACAACGGGGAGACACTGTTCAAAGGCATCCTTACCGCGTAGGCCAGCCGTTCACCTTTTGGGTCGGATGAGAGCTGGGTTGGCTGCCCACGGGTTGTCGACGGGCAGGCAGCCCATGTAGAATCTAACAGCTTGTCAGCTACCGGTAGCGAAAAGGGAGCCCAAATCTTGATCATACCGCATTTGATGCTCATCTTGAATCTAGAAATTATGCTTCTTGTGTTCGTCTACTTTCTATGGAGGTGCGATGTCTAGTAAATCGAGTTGTTGGAGAGAACAAGTGTCCGGGCGGGGCAGCCAGCATTTGATGCTGAATAAGGCAATATAAAACCACGACCTTACAGATGAATATCAGGGCCAAAGGAGACATGAGAAAGGGGCCATGTTTGCTGAAACAGCCGGCTAATGGCAGTGAAATCGTCTTTTATACAGTTGGGTAGGTAGAAAACAGTCGAGTCTAGTGCGTAGTATACATCTGGTAATCATCTCAAACACCACAGGGCATGCGGCAAACAGTGACAATGCAGGCTTAGAGCTTCTTTTCGAGCATGAGAATTTCCGGATGCCGGTGAACGCTAGGCATCAGTCCCATGCTGACAGCTCTCCTAATAGCTTTGGAGAGCTTCCTTTGGTTGATTCGTCGTAGGCCAGTATCCCTCGCTGACTTGATCCGGCCTGTCTCGGTCACGTATTCAGACATAACGGCGATGTTCTAATTTGCAGCAAAGCTATTAGTACTAAAGTTCCTTGGGTCTAAGCAGAAAATTGACGGGGAGAGATCCTCGCAAATACCTTATACATGTGTAGAGGATTCAGCGATAGAGCGTCGAAAATATCAGTCGTAGGGTTGCGCCGTTTCTTCCATTTCTTCATTTCTGCTGGGCTCAAATCACGCGGGGAGTATACGTCGCCGGGTTGCCAGGTTCTGGTCTGCTGTTTCTGTAGGTCGAAGGCTCGCTGTTCCCGGGCTCTCTCTGCCTCGAATTGTTGGTTCTGAAGTTGTCTCCGTCGGATACCACGGAGTCTGGCGTCTATAAATTTGCAAAACAGTTAGATCAAGTAACACATAAAGAAAGTCTATAACGTCCACATAGACAATTTATGGCTTACCTGTCGCTGGATTCAAGGTGATTCCGCCAAAGCCTGAATGAGACCGACAGGAGACCAGGGGGGTGAAGCCCGTCAGTTGGCAGAGGATCGGACGGCGGGTGGTCAATTTGGTAGCCATTGCGGTTCTGAGCAATAAGAATATCTCTGTTATATGCCCAAGAAATGGTATGTGACGGCTTCATCTGCTGCTTCGAAACATCCTTCGTTGTTGTCTAGCAGGAGATTTTTTTATATGTCTTGGCTTGGTCAAAAATGCCAAGCCTCGACACCCGCGCGTTTCTTCAAAGCTTCAAGAAGCATAAAAAAACCTCCAGCTTGACCAGATGGCGTGAAGGGACTAACAGGACATGATTACACCGAGCATCGCGCGTTCAATTGAAGATAACCAGGTATATGCTATGACTCCGGATTGATAGAATGCATGTCCAGTAAGTTATACCCGCAAGCCAGCAAGACCTGAGTATTTCTAACCAGCTTCAACCCAGCTCTGAAACCGGACAATCACACCAACTCGGCGCCTCAACATGGCCGGAATGTTCAATACTTTTCTCACGAACAAGCCGTTTGTAGCTTCAAGATGCTACAAGCACTTTCTTTCTTCCACGAGGTCACGCTCCCACTCGTTTCGCCCGCTCCTTTCCAGCCAGAGGAGACATATATTCAGCTTCCCATCCATTCGACGAGTGACAGAGACCAACACTGGGAAATATAATGATACCTCGGAATCTGGATCAAAACCTATGGTGCAGCTACTACATGCTCTGGAACAGCAATCGCGGCCTCCGCCTGCTTTTATTCTTGCGACGGGTTTCATGCGGTTTATAGATAAGCGACTCGGTCAAGTTACATTGACACGTTATCAGGCGGAGCTCCTTCTGCGCACCTTTCAGCATCTCTTAAGTGTCCCTTCAAAGGATCCCCAGGGTTCTTTACGGGAATTTCTGGAACTGGGAAACTTTGAATATACGTTAGAAGCACTGGCACGAGCAGATTTCACTCCAGATGCTTCCGAGCTGGTTAACGACTTGGCAAGAATTGCCATGGGCCAGATACGTAGAATACGTGAAAGGACTCCAGAGTTAACACCGGAACCTGGTCTCGAGGTGCTCAAGTCGTACATCGCAGTTCTCTCGTCCACCGGATTTTCTGCCGATGCATTAAAGCTTACCATTACCTACTGGAAAACCACACCGGATCTAAGCAACGGATTGTCACTTTGGGCTGATATCATAAAAGGGTTTGCGAAAGAAGGCAGGCGTCCAGGTACTGAGCAAAATACTCGGTCAAAAGTCACAATGGTGTTGGAAAAAATGAAGGAGTGCGATATCACATTGAATACGGAGCGACAGGAGCAGTTGATCTTCATGCTAGCGGACAGCAACTATTTCCACGCGATTAAGACTGTGGCTGAACTTCCTGTTGAAAAGTCAACGGCCACAAACGTACATCTGCTCAAGTTCGCGCTACGGCATGCTATGTACTCGTGGGCTGCAGCGATAGTAGGTTCATTTCCGTCGTATCCAACCCCAGAAACCAGGGACGCACTACTTCTCTTTTCATTTTTGCGGGGACGCTCCTCAAATTCAATCTGTAAACAGCTTGATGAAATGACTGCAAAAAATCCCGAGATACGAACCACAATGTCAATTGACATGATCAACATGATAATCGAATATGCAAACCTGCATAAACAGGCAAACATTGCCCAGCAGGCTATCCAAGTGGCACAGATTTGGAATTTAACTCCTAACGCTCGAACATCTGTTCTACAGATACACTCACTGGTCCATTCTGGACAAATTAAGGAAGCTGCGGAATTGTTCCAATCTCTCAGTCCCGACGTGGAGTTTGATCTATCCGACGTTGATTTCTTGAACGACTTTGTCAAACAACTCTGCCTGGTGGAGAATTCCTCAATCGACTTTGATACCGTCAACACTCTTGTGGATATTTTACAGGGTGTGGGCGGCCGGTTTGACCCAATGACCCTCTGCACTCTTTGCAAATCCCTGCTTCACCGAGGCGACTTAGAGGGTGTATCCACTTTACTCCGACCAATAATTGACACTTTCGATCCATTAGAGCTTCAAAAAATCAGATTGCCTTTCCTTGACTATATCAAAGATATGGATCAAACCGTGGACAATGCATGGGAAGTATATGAACTTTTGAATCTAGCTATACCAACAACGCCTGTTTCGACAAGGACGATGATCATGAATATCTTTTTCGAGCGCCAGAGACCTGATCTTGCCTGCCTAGTCTTCGGTCATATGCGGCAAAAGGGCGACCCTAATATCAGACCAACTTCCTTCACTTATGCCCGCTGCTTCCAAGGAATTGCAAAGTGCGCGGACTTAGACAGTTTACAATTAGTCCACAATATGCTAAAACTTGATCTCCAAGTTGCTCCAACCACCAAAATCCGCAACAGTTTGATGCTGGCCTATGCTGCATGTGGGCTAGCAGATCAAGCGATGAGAATTTTCAGAGACATACTTCACTCAGAAGAAGGTCCTTCCGAACGAACTCTAGTTATATTTTTCAGGGTCTGCGAATCATACGGCAACGGTCGTGAAGAGGCGACTAAAATGATGGAGAAACTGAAATCTATGGATATATTAATCAATGATGATGTTTATAATGCATACGTTGGCGCTCTTGGAGGCCATTGTGAGCTGGAACTCGCAGTCCAAGCCATCAAGCAAATGGAGTCACAGACTGGCTCCTCACCAACTACACTCACGTATGCTAAGTACCTTCATCGTCAGGCGTGATCTACATTACTAACTATCAAACGTTTACAGGCTTGTAAATCTCTACAACTCATTACCGTACCAATTCTGGAAAGACCAAGCCGAAGAGTGGGCGCAAGTCGCGTATCCTGAACTATGGGAAACGATAGGACAATCCGGGCGAACAACAAACGAATACGGTATACAACATCTGAATATAGATAGGTCGGTTAAAGCTTAGCCGTGTATTATTAAATCCAACCAGTCTTTCAGTTCACTTGCAGTCTTTCCTTGCACCTAGAGCAAAACTACACTCACAGTCTCTCAGTTACATAGAGGCCTGTCATCCGATCAAAATACAGGAATATCGATGCTTCGACCACCGTTCGAAAGCCCAAGCCAGCAAATAGCCAAATTTTTAAACATGGATGATCCCCGTTGTGAGAGTCAGGCAGATTATTTTTATTACTTGGCTCCACGGCTATGATGCACGCCACAGAAACCCCTCCACCAGAGGCGTCCGCAGGCACGCTGCAATAAGGCTGGATTGAAGTCCAGGAGCTAACATTATGTAGGCAAACGAAAGGAACGATGCCAAAAAGAAGGTTCTAACGTTTGTATTAAGCATAGGTCTATATACATATTTCATCGATTAAAAAAGGCTATTTTGAAACTCCTTAACAACAGAGAAAGATTTAAACGCCCATATTTCCGCCAAAACTCCGCTTCTCATTGCTATATACCCTTTGTATAGCCATTGTCTACAAAGTCAATAAAGTCGTCGTGTGATCCGAAAATCTAATCTGGTCATATCGTCGCTCCATCGTCGGAGCGTTGGTGCTGTATCCCATGTCTGGATATCCCACTACCCCATTATGGAGGAGAGATATCATATCGTTTGAAATCCATGGCTCATAGCCCAAGTTGCCATTGAGCGGTGGATCCACAAATGACGGCGTACACATCTCTGCCTGCGGTGATGTGACGGTGTAGTATGAATAAGGAGACATATTTGTTGGCTCACAAGGGCGGATTGTATCAATCAAAGGGGTGTGCGGAATAGGCACGGGACTCGGTGAGCTTGCGAGGCTCGGGACTTGTTGATAGGAGGGGACTGCTGTCAAAGGCGACTGGATGTCGTTGGTAGGCCATACCTCAGGGACCGTTACTTTCGGGGGAGCTGGAAGCCGGGCTTGCTGACTCTGGGTATGATCTGGGACATGCCAGAGGAGTTTAGGCATTATCGTTTGACAAGGAGCTCGAGTCTCTTCAACGCGTGTCACTGGATTGGTTGTCGGTTTCACCATCGGGTTCTTCTTTTTAGTGGCACTTCCGGAAGCTTTCGGCACTGTCCCATCGGTTTTATTGCTGCCAAAGCGTTGCGTATATCTAATAACCGGAGCGATGTTAGGGAAAGGAACTCCATATGAACGGGCAACGAAATTTATGTGATTGAGTCAACGAACCTATTCTTTGCCGCAATCGGCGTTCGGTTGGGGAAATATCTATCCACAATCTCGGTCCACCTCCTACCATAGATTTCCACAGCCTCCCTCAATATCTCGTCTTCCAAGAGTGACCATCTGTCATTATTTATTTCTGGATTTAAAGATTCATGCCACCTCCTTGAACATTCTACTCAGAAATAAAGTTAATGACTGTCAATTTCAGGTTGCAGATGTAGGTTCAACTCACGATCGGGTTGCCTAGATCCGACAACTTGCGAAACGAGGGCCCAGCTAAAAATTTTGTATTAGCGGATGACAATAGCCCAGAGACATGATGAAAAGTTCCACTGTCTGCTTACCGGAAACCGTGTTTCTGGATGCCTTGCAATAATTTTTCGTCTTCCGTTTTATTCCACGCTCCTTTGTTCAAGGAAGGCGCTAGAATATATACCCATCGTTTCCGGCAGTCCTTGTTGTTTCGATCTGGGATGTTCGAGGCTATGCGATGCCAGTTGATATCACCACCTCTAGCCACTAGAGAAAAGATTTATCAGCTCCCGTCCAATCCGCTAGGCACTACCATCAGAACTTACTGCTTTCATTTACGGCTTTCCGCAGGAGGGCATCCTCCTCCTTCGTCCAAAGCCGTCGTGCCCTTACTTTAATCATCGTGGGATCTGAGCAAAAAGGCTCGGGCCGGGAAAACGGGTATTGGCAGAGTAAAGCGTGCACGACCGAGAAGTACAAGAAGAGAAGGCGATACTCGTCTGTCAGTGATGAGAGCTAACCTTTTCCGAATCAGGGAGATTGGAGAGGATAAGATGTGCAGCAGTTGAAAAAAGAATCCAGAGATGAGGCATGAATGGTCGTGATGCTGCTGGATATAAATTTTATCTCAGGGAGGACAATCTGCTTCTTATTCTGTCTTCCAGTGCATCCGACAAGCGTCAAGTATACGACAGGCGCCAAGGGGGATTCCCAGATGGGAAGATGGTATAAACAGGCAAAGTTCGTGGGCCCAGCCTGATGTCCCAATCTAGTGCCATATATGGCCCATGTCTAACATGTACCACATCTCATGTACGATGGCAGAGTGAAATTTTGATCTGCAAGGCTCATGCATGAGTGGACCGTATACCTATTTCTGTGCATACAAGCTTTAGCTTGTTTGCAAATACTACGTCGGCAGTCTTATCATGCATGGAACAGTTAAAATACCGGATCTGGTCTAAGTCAAACAAAAATAAAAAGCCCTTTGGCGCCTTTCAACTGCTTGTGCTCCCTGATTTGGAAGCTATATCACACGAAGATGCAATTATCTACCCGCGGCCCGGTTACTCGGTTACTTTCAAATACCGTTCCCAGCGACACCCTGAGCTTAATCTCTCGTACGAAATGGAGAATTAAGGAAAATAAAAAGGAACTGTTCGGTACCAGGTCCCTGAAACTTCCGCAGAGGAATACAACGTCCAAAGCAATACAGTCCAACACTATTGGCTGGATTGAGGGCCATTTTCCCCCCCCCCCCCCCCCCCCCCCCACCCCAGTAAACTCACAGTGAACTGGCATCTATAAAATTGATACATATACATTATATGTATGCAACGACAAGGAAATATATGGCGATACAGTTTCGAAACAGTGGGAATCCATAGGCCGATTAGCGCTATTATTCATCGTTGGCAGCGGGACGAATCTTGACGTAAGTCACTCGAGCATCTCAATCTCTACGATACCCTGTCAAAGTGCAGGCAACGTCGTATTCAAGGTCTACACGTGGGATAGGATCAAAGCAGCTCCCTGTTGTGATAAAGAAAAGAAACAAGTGGCGGGCGGGCGCATCTATCTTATTTCATGCTGGCCTGGCTTGACAATGGGACGCCATCCGCCAATAATCGGCGCTATACCAACACATTGGCCACCATGATTCGAGGGCAAATGTCAAGCTCATTCCTGGAGCGCCTCGGTTCATCTCGTTCAAGGGGGAGCATCGCAGATGTTCAGGCACTTTCTTAAACTCTTCGCTGCGGCTTCAACCGATTTAGGTTCTCTTTTCCTCCGTATTCTAATTCTTCCTCCCTGCCCACTTGGGCCAAGAGATGGCCCTGGTTGACTTCGAGTTCTGCCTTACACGCCAAAATCTTCTTCCTCCGCACCAGAAGAATCCCAGTGCTGAATCTCATGGGCCTTGCGAAGGGCTAGAAAGACGTTTCTCCTGCAGAGTCGCCAAAACGCCTCGCCATGCAAATCCGAGCATTAAGGTTGATCACTCAGCATGCTGCCTTCGGCAATTTACCCCATTTATTTTTCCTATTTACCGGGTTTTCCGCTATGAATGCTCTTTCTCATTCTATGATGGGAGGAGAGTTCTATCGGTCATGATAATGTTGATTATCCTATCCGCATTCGCCGCAGAAAAAGGCCCATTTTGTTCCCAACCAGTCACTACACTCTCACGGCCACATTACACGATCTCTCACCCTCGCGTGCATACTACTCCATATACCGTGTGGGGGGAGATGCGGATGGACAAGACCTGGTGGAGACGACGCTTTGGGGGGGGCTGGCTCGTTCGCAAAGATGCCTGTCCTTGGTACACCTTCAGATGTCCAAGTATATTTATGATTTGACCATGCATTGGCTGTCGGCAACCGCAGGGGAGGAGTATACTATTCCTTTGGCCTTATTCAACACACACACTACTTGCTGGCTTATGCACATAATACATATTCGGCTTCTTTCCTCGTTAGCATTTACTCGAGAAGCAAAGGATGCGCCCGCCGTTGCGCATATCATCTGTGTTAGCCTTGCGCGGCTGAAACATCCGAGGAACTCACAAGAAATGATCTTCAGTGACCTAAGCAAGCGTATTCGTTGTATGCTGCCAAATGGTGCATCTCTTCCCAACCCAAGTCTTGCGCTTAAGAGGCTTTTGTGTGTTTACCGGATAGTCGATAGGACTCGCTTCCGTTTACTTTCTATTTTTGTTTCTCGAAACCATAGGCAATACGAAGGTTTATTTCGGCAGGTTCCCTGATGCGCCAGTGGGTTTATACGGGCCTCACCAAGAAGTTGTGCCCGTATTTATCTTTTTTTATCTAGCACTCGAGGAAAGATTTACGGCTGTCTGCATTCCACTGACAGGTTTCCCCCATTCTTATCTCTCTCTCTTCTCACGCCCCTATCATCCAGCTCTTGCCACGTCGGTGGAGAACAAATATGCAGGTAGCGTGTGCGTGCAGTGTAGCATGAAGCATGTTGCAGGAAACTCCATCAAGCACACGGATTTTCCACCCGAACCCGCGCGAGGTTCTGGGTGGCTTCGCTTGTTTAATCCTTGTTCTGCTTCATACGTGCGTTGGGGCTGGAGGAATTGAGCCAACAAACCAAAAGTATCATCCCAGCATCGAGCGTATCGAGTGGCTTGAATTGGCGAATTCCACTCTGAAACCAAAAGAAATGCAGGAAAGAAAGAAAAGGAAGCCTTGGATTTAGACCTTCCCGCCATGTGGCTGTTTCATTTGCTCTGACTATATATTGACGACGATTTAAACGATTAAGCATAACTGCCGACTTCTGTCTTGAGTCATGCAGTGACTGGATCGCCGCTGTTTTTGGCGAGATCCCACGAGATACTCATGCAGGAAATCTTGACAACTAGCGAAATGTGAGCTCTCGCTCTACGTTGACCATTAGGATTCCATGCCGGTCCAACACCGAGAAACATGGGTTTCTATTTGTCCAAAACATTTGACTTTCAAAGAACCGAGAAGCTCCTAGATGGAAGGTCGAAAAAGAAGCAGAAGCAAAGCCCCGTCTCTGTCTCCTCCCTCCCCTGCTGTCCTCTAAATCTCCCTTTCTCTCTCCAACCCGTCTTTGCTCCTCTCTCCCGCTACTATTATTAATAATGATATATAGCTTTCATCTTCCCCAAGCCAAGGGTGAGTGGAGGCTGCGTGCGCCACGAGGAAGCGGATAAGAGTACCCCCTGGCCCGCTGATTCTTGCTCCCGAACCTTAAGCAGGTTAAAAATCAATGCCAGCAAACAAGCATAACTCAGTGGTAACCAGAGAGGAGCCCATCCAAAAGTGCCAGCCGAAGGTGTTGTTTGAGCAAATTGACACGGAGTCTCGGGGTCGTGTTAGCTGTGGCCCTTCATCCCCGAGCCATCCCTTCGATAGAATCGAGTTTCCAGGAGACGGGATACTAAAACACCAATTTTACGGAGTTTCTCATGCCCCATAATATCTAATGGCTACATACTCCGTACATCATGCAGAGAGATTAGTGGGTGGAGCTAAAACGAATGTAACCCCTGGCTAGCCGTCAGCATTAACGCTAACACGGCTCCGTGATGCTACTATTATTACAACCACGTTGCCTTTTCCAGGCAGAAAATTTGCTTGTGGCCTGCGGATCGCAAATACGGGCTTGCTCCATACATGATATTCGATACTCAAGAGAGGGTAGCCACTTTTCTGAAGACGGTTCTTCTTATTCTATCTATAGACGAATCTTGCCCTGGAGGTCTTCTTCGTCAAAGCTCAGGTGTTACCGTGGCTTCTGGAGATGGAAATGATACATGACACTCGGACAGCCGGTCCGATAATTGCATCTCGTACCAATACGTGGCACACAGCGACTGCATAGGGCAATATACTTTGTAATGGCCTCGCAGCATACTGAAATATATGTATATATATATTTTATACACATGGCATTAATGAAGATCCAGTTTGGGATCTACTAAGTATATGGCGGGACATTGCAGCGATGGCTTCTCAGATAAATCCAGCAGCCTGCTCATTGACAAGGTTTCCCAGGATATACGACATGGATTTACCCAAGTCATTTCGTCTTGTTCCGCAAGAAAGACTCCTAGTTCTTGGGAAATCCCGCACTTTTCTCCACGTTAACCCCGAGGGTGCCATGTGGAGGCGCAGTGTCTTTCCAGCTTCAAATCAGAGATATCGACAAGGGGGAAACAATTGAAGTGCAAATTGTGATCACTGAAGCCTAATTACATAAAGAAAACGTGAGTGCTATATCATGTCAAGCTGAGGACAAGGATGGCCGGGAAAGTGCGTAAACTGTTCTCCCTGTCCCGTTCATATAACTGATTATGGGCTATATAACTAGTAAGGGGCTTCGAAGAGATACAATAATGACCAGCAAGCAAATCACCTGCAGGCAACTTGATGGTGGCATTAAATACTCCGTAGGTTTCATTACCTTCCAGGTACCTACAATAACTATAGAACCAAGGATTAGTGAGGTTCTATGTGAATATTGGAGATAATACCACCAGCCGTCTTCTTGTACGATGTTGTACGCTGGAGCTTTGATCGGTCCTAAATCCGGCTCACAATTAACTACGACAATTACAACTCTACGACCCTATGGGAGAAACCCGTGCCCATGGTATCTATTACGGCAACAAGTAGAGGGGGAGGGAGACTTCGATGCTCCCTTGCACAGAAGCCAGCAGCGGCATTGCCCAGGAAGTTGTAAACATCGGCAGAGTGTTTACATATGTAGCTGCCTGAAGTACGAGCTTTACCTTAATATTCCTTCGCAAGATCACTTACTGCTGTCAGCTGGCGCCCTTGTATGCTCCAAAAGAGCAAATGATCGTCTTAACGACTTGAAGTACCAGCCTGGACAGTTGCATTGTCCCTGAACTAGCGATATATATATAGAACGTTTGGAGTGTTGTATCCTGAGTATGCAGCCGGCTTCACATGGCGCTGCAATTACCTCTTCTGATTCTTTAGTCCGATAATGAAGAAGTTGACCTGGTTTACACAGTCCACTGGAGCCACAATGCGCTTACATATTCACCGCAAATGAGACTAATGTTAAACGATATCCCATTAGTGATATTCTCCACGTTGCCAAATTTGCCAACAAGCCGCCGAGCAGGCTACACTAATGGGTTGTCTATTTACCGCATGGCTGGATATAACATACTAGCTGGTTATCCATCAATACAGGTACCAACCATCGAGATTTGAACATCTAACAACTTCTGCAGGCTATTTTAGCCACACTTACCTCCCGCCCCAGGCCTATTATGTTCAGGACATGACCAAAAGTAGCCCCGTAGCTCCCTACGCATTCCAATGCTGCGAATGAGGTACGGGGAGACAACAACATTGATAATGACATCTCCCGTCCTACCCTAGCCTTACGGGGGAGACTCGGTACGGAGTACTGTGAAGCCAGTCTTTACCATGGTCTATATCAACGGCATACCCCTCGACCAAGGAATATGTGCAATCACATGCAGATTCAGCTAGCCCATTGCTTTAGCAAATGGTGGTAACGCCATTTGCAGAAATCAGCCACCAGGTAGCTGGCGGGTAGCCAATATCTGGGAATACTTCCTGCCAGTGCTATTGGAGATTAACGGTAGGAAAACTGTTGATATCCTCGTGCATAACTGCAAGTGAAACGCTTGAATTACATTGATATCGACGTTGAGTCTGGGGTTATTGTGTCGCGTTTGGGTGTCACGATTATGGAAGCGATAGGATTCAGCACGACCCAGTAACGGGTCTCAAATCAGCCAGACTATCCTGCAGCTTCAGAATCCAGTACTTGGCTGCCTTGCGCCCAATTCTCATAAATGTTCGCAAGTTGAATCCTGCCGACGGGGGGAACCCAAATGGGGTATCTTCCTGCGCCTTCCATTCAACTACGAAAAGTATACTTCGTACATATACGTTATTCCCCGAGAGGCAGACCCATCGGTTAAAACATCTGACAATGGTCAAGCATGTCCAGTATTTATCATAGGCTTCAGATTGTTCTCCTTCCTCATTTATAGGCTAGGCTACTACTATGAAATTCGTCGAGCGCTTTCAGCTCCGCATCCTTCGCCCCGACCCATCGCTGGTGATAATGTATCAATTAAATCCCACATATCCTTCATGAGTTTATGCCGGAAAATCGACCCGTCATACCGAAAGGCAATAGAAAAATCCTTTAATTAGTTGATAATCATGCATCTGGAATAAATCCTACACTAGTTGCACACGAAGAATGCCGATATGACAACTATCCTCCTTGAGAGGAGGCCGTCATAATGGGTTGGACAACTACTTGTATCATGTCAGCTTCTTTTCTTGTATAACTGAATTATTACATCACACCCCATATATTAGGATTACAGATCAAGGATTTATTAGGTTCCATCTTCTTTTAAGTGCCAAACTTATGGGCTGCAAAATTTAATGGCATCAGAAGGCATATGCCCTCTCTAACTGATGGAATCATTTGATGACCTCTACATCTTACTGTCTACTCGTTATCTTATCAAGGAGGATTTTTATCTAAACAACCCGGTTTTCTGCCTGACCTTCTAGCAGCCCGTTGCAAAATACCTTATGGCAGCGCAGCGAATGAGGTCATTTGTGATATTTTAAATCACCCCATGAACTCCAAATCAATAAGCACAGTAACTGTGACATCCTCGATATTAGCAGTATTATAGAGCCCAATATGACTGTGTGAAACCTTAGCTAGTTGTGATGTCTCCTAGATAACTTCATTGCGATAGTATATTGGCTCCGGCCAATAAACTGTTCCTAAAGTCCAATTCGACCGCAGGTGTACAAACGAGTTCAGTGCTGCGTGTAGATTATCATTATAATATGGTGCTATTCAAGGCGGATGAGTGTATCTTTACCAGCTATGGAAAACAGCATTCCCCAGTCTCCGTGCAACACGGCACTCTGCTTGCTTTAGGATGCTTTCTCAAGCCTTCCAGCTAGCCACCTGTAATTGCGGAGTAGCTATTACTGCCGACTGATCTATCTTCCCTCCACCTGTTAACTCTGGGACTCCTCTACCGTCGGTCGAGAAGACCTCTGTTTTCTCAAGCTTCTTCCCGCCCGGCTTGGCACCCGTCCGTTCTCCCGCCGGACCAATCACATGCCTTACCGTCGAAAATAAGCCTCCTAAGCCCCTCCGCGGCGGAAACTTTCAAACCTTCTCCATCCTCTCTCCCACACCCATACAGCGGTAAACTGCATCACCAATTGAACCGTGTCCTTGCTATGTCGGCAAATGCCCGTCAGGATATCCATGGGACTATGTTCATCACACTCAGAAACCGGCTCGTGGGCGGAGAATACTTTTTCCAAGGCATCTTCATAAAAGTGGGCCGGAGATTATTCGCTTGAAAGCGAGATATGCTAAAAAAAAAAAAAGAATTCAAGAAAGCAAGGAAGAAAATAATCTAATTTCATTTTCCGAAGGCATATTATTATCGAGAAATATGTATTAGGTGTTTAAGTTACATCTTGTCGGGCTCCCGTTTTGGTGGTGCGGAGAGAAGATCGGCAGGATCTTAGCTGTTGACTCACTTTGAAGGCCAGGCTTTTCTGAGCCCATTCGCGACATTTATACCCATAAAAGGAATAACTCTCTACGGATGCTCTATTTATGCTCGGAATATTTTCCTGCTGAGTAAATAATCTTGCAAAGCTTGCTCCCTGGATTTGTATTTCGCCCCGCCATTGCAATGGGCAGTCTTGTGAAGTTTCTGAAGAGGCTGGCTGCCCTCCCCAACGGAGCTGAGGAAGCCCGGCCAAACCTAATCCTACTTGTGGTTTGCTCCGCTATGTTCCTTGATCGTGAGTTTGAAAGCGATAATACGGATTCTCCGACTCCCTTGACTCATCCGGGCTTATCAAATCTCTAGTCTCGAATCTGTCAGCTGTGACAATTGCCCTACCCACCATTGGCGAGCAGCTACACGCTGACCAGGCGAAGTTACAGTGGGTCCCTCTCGGGGTTATGCGCTGACGGTACGTCTTCGTCATA